ACCCCCCCCTACCGCGCTTCGGATCTTTCGGTCTGGATTTCACAGAGTTAGGCTTCAGTGGGAGATGGCGACCGAGAGCCCACAGCAACATCTGGAACCTCCGGCGCCCATCCAGTCGAGCCCGGTTCCCGGAGTGCTCAAGTCGGCCTTGATCGGCCAGCACTCCCCGGCCATGGAGCCCTCGAGCCTGGCCAAAGCCAAGAAGAGCAGCGGAGGCTTGAGGCGGCCCGAGAAACCGCCTTATTCCTACATCGCCCTGATCGTGATGGCTATTCAGAGCTCACCGACCAAGAGGCTGACACTGAGCGAGATCTACCAGTTCCTGCAGACCCGCTTCCCGTTTTTCCGGGGTTCCTACCAGGGCTGGAAGAACTCGGTACGGCACAACCTGTCCCTGAACGAGTGCTTCATCAAACTGCCCAAGGGTCTGGGCAGACCCGGTAAGGGTCACTATTGGACTATAGACCCGGCCAGTGAATTCATGTTTGAGGAGGGCTCCTTTCGTCGTAGACCCCGAGGGTTCCGCAGGAAGTGCCAGACGCTCAAGCCCATGTACAGGATGATGAATGGCCTGGGCTTCGGCCCCTCGATCATCCCCCAACCCTTCGACTTCCAGGCACCCGCCGCTTCTCTCGCCTGCCACGCCAACAGCTACAACCTGGAGAACAGCCTCAGCATGATGAGTAACTCACTGTCAGGGAGCTACGATGGACTCAGCAGCGGCCACCATGTCCCCCATATGTCCCCCAACCCCGGGTCTACTTACATGGCCAGCTGCCCCGTGACTTCAGGCGGCGAGTACGGCGCAGACAGCAGCAGTAGCCCGGTCCCTTCTTCTCCTGTGGTGGCCAGTGCTTTGGAGTGCCATTCTCCATACTCGCCCTCAACTGCTCCTTGGTCATCGTCAGCGACATCGCCGTACATTAAACAGCAGAGCCTGAGCCATATCAACTCTGTTCCCTCCAGCCTCCACTCCACCATGTCATCCTACTCGCTGGAACAGACATACCTGCACCAAAATACAAGGGACCCCGCAGAAATTACAGGTACAATTGCCGAGGAGTCTTGCTGTGCACTTTAAAAGGCGCCGGCTATATTTTTGCTTTAGTTTCATGTATTCAGTGTGTCAAGTAACAGACACGTTGGCAAGCACCAGGGTTTGGCTAGTTTTTCTATTAACTGAGTTGTTTATGTAACGTTTATTTCCTCAAATAGAATAAAGTACTTGGGCGCTTCTAAAGCTAAGCGATTTAAAATAAGCTCGGATTTTACAACGACGATTTTAGCTTTAGAGCGACGCTGAAAGTGGTGCCCGAGGAGTCAGTCGCTAACATTTTATTTCTCTCGAGTCTTCAATATGCGAGAAAGTTATTGTAAATATCGCAGCCTCGAGCAAGTGGACAAGGTACAACGCTGTTCTTGAGAGAGGTTTCCCACTGAAAGATAGGGGGCGAAGGGAAATAGGACGGCGTATGTTGAAGAAAGGCTTCATAACAATCATCCGAGTTGTAACTTTAGAACAGCTTTTAAAGTATTAAAGGCTATAGTCGATTGAACAGATAATAATTGCTTTAAAATAATACGATGGAAACTTATACCTCCTTCTGAGAGTAGGTTAATGTAGAGGCGTAATCCTTAATCAGACCTCTCTATACTTGTACCATTAAAAAAATCTGATTGGATACAAACTTAGCCATTTTCTTTACAGAAATTGAAATATATTTGCCTATCTCATCACAAATATAGCGTTGGATGGACGAAAATCCTTTTAAAACATTGGCAGTTTATTGGCGTTTTGAGTTAAAACGATCTATGTTGACAGAATGATTGCTTTAGTCCAGGACAGATTGTGTACACTAGTACATTTGAACGACAGTATGCAGATGTTTCATTTAACAGCACTTTGTCAGTGTGTTAACGTGATTTAAACGGTTTTCAAAAAGGTTTCCCTGTCAAAGGTTCACACGTATCATCTGGTCTCCCCCATCCCCCCAACCGTCCCCCACAATTTTACTGAAACTGTGAAATAGATAGAGAGAGAGAAAGCCAGTGTCTATAAGATCTATAGGAACCGTGGAGACTCGAGGCAGTAAGTTTCCAAACAGTCACTGAAAATGTGGGTCGGGGAGGTTAACTAAACAAAGACAGTCGCGGCCGGACCACACTGAAGAGGATTTTAGCTTGACTTAACCCAGATGAGAGCTGATGTTGTTAAACGTTCTGGGAACCGCTGGTTAGTCAACTGCCGACACAGGGGCATCTGTATCTACCCCGTACTTTCTCAGCGCGGAACCTTAAAAAGTCACGCTTTGTTTTTTTTTAATCCCTTTGATTTTGCATTGCATTGGACAATTAAGATGAAAACTGCTGGAAGAGAGAAGCAACAGTCGAAACAAATGAAAGGCACAAGGAGCGGCTTTATAGGGTTTGGGGAAATGCGGGTTCAATGTTACAGGCGGAAGTTCACATCATGTCAAATAGCCGCGTGTATGTGTCCCCAGCTTAGCACATTTCAAAATTGATGGACGCCAAAGTATTGTGATTAATATTGAAATCCCTCCTCAGAATGAAATACTGGACATCAAGACTTTGGAACAACCTGTGATATATGAAGCACCACAGGCGCGAGATTACTAAGTGACAGTCTGAATTATAAATTTAAGATGTCAGGGAAGCAAGGTACCATCTTGAAGCCAAATATCTGGCCCCAAACAGGAAATAGCCGGCTTTCCATTCCTTTACCAGCTGATGATATACCTGCTGGCTGAGAAATTATACACATCTGGTATAGAATTATATATATTTGTCGGAATTGTCAATGTTTGGTGCTATTTCATAACTTGTTGAGATAGGTTGGGGGCTGTGGAGTTGAATTCAGGAGGATCGCATAATGCTTTCTGCTCCAGCTGACAATTGTCTGTCATCGGCCTCACTGTTGGATTTCTCGGGTGAAATATCTGGTCTCCGGTGTTTTAGCTTCAGCGCACGTTAGGTTACAGGCAGCCGCACATTTTAAAAAGAAACAGTTCCAATCTCGTTGTAAACAAAGTATAAATCACACTAACCAGAACTCTCTCAATCAGGCACTCGAAACGTTTTCTGTCTCTCTCTCTCTCTTTAAATAAAGCGTTCATTAAGATTGTTGGATGTAGGTCGACATAACAAATCAAAGATCATCTTATCAGCGCAATTTTGAGAATTTTTTTTTGCCCCAGTTTGGGTTTACCATTCTGTGAATTGAAACGAGGTGTTAGGGCCGGTAATGGTCATGGAAATGAATGGTTAATGATTCTCACAACTGTAAACTCAAATAAGAAGTTTGGCATTCTGCACTTGGCACTTGAAGATTTCCAAACAAGGGCAGGTATTGTATTTTTGTTGTTAAGTTGGAGAGGGACTCTCTTAATATGTGTGTACTTAACTCGACCGAGTCCGCAAACACACACATTTGGAGTTAACATCTGGAATATTATTGATTCCTTTTCACACAGCGGTTCGGTGTATCCCGCAGAAACGGTCACTGTTTCATGAGAACCCGATTTTTTTTGTGTTCTCAACCCAGCGCTAAATTTAACGACACAGACACGTAATTAACACAGAGTTGATAGAGAGGGTAACTGATCCAGGCCGAACGTGCATCAACCATTCAAATGAGAATCAAACAATAGCGAGCCCTGTGTAAAACGGTCAGCCTTTTAAAAGATATATAATATTCGCTGCTTGTCGTTTCAGTGGGGCTACCTCGCTATCAGACTCATTCCTCGCCTGTGTGTGACAGAAAGGATTTTGTGCTCAATTTCAACGGGATTTCGTCTTTTCACCCCTCGCCCGGCGGATCATACTATCACCATCATCATCAAAGCGTATGTCAGGACATCAAGCCTTGTGTCATGTAAACATTTGCACCCACCTTAAATCAACTCTCGTCTGTGCCTATCTCTGATCTGTTTTGATTATTCTGATTCATACAAAATAAAACCAAGACAGGACACGGCACTGGTAGAGTTGGGAGATTGAGCCCGAACATGTCGTTCAAGAAGTAAAAAACAGGGGGGACTGTGGGAAGCCTGTGGGGGACGCCTCAGTATTTGCACATCTGCAACTCTGTTGCCGATTTTTGCTTGAGTTCTTTTGGTCAAAACAAGGAATGGTTTAACGTCAGACGAACTGTCCTGTTGATTCTGCCCTTTAGCCACGATGAAAAAGGTGGTGCGTATGCCAGACGCCTCGTTATTTTAACAACGTTCAGTTCTTATATCAGTATTAAAGAGCAGGATGTGTAGTATGAGCATTAGCGTACTGTATTTATGTATAAATTTTGAAATCCAAAGGTCAGACTTGATGCCATGTCAGTATTAGACACTGATTTGAAACTTTTTTTGCGAGGACAATACGGATTTTTACCATAATCTATAACAAGACACATGTATGTATACACGCACATAATGCTTTTTTTTATAAATAAATACATTTGAATATAATTGCACTTGAAAAATGTATACTTTATGATTTTTGCCAAAACATTTTGATGTAAAAACTAAGTTCAATAAACATGTAATTCGGACTGTTGCTTATTATACTTTTTTACCTTAGCTCAGTGGACGAGAGAATCTCAAAGTCAGGGGATCCTGTTTCGGGATTAGGCTGTTATACAAAGGGATATTCAAAGGGACTGCTGTTAATCTACATGCTTTAGTTATTTTAAAACATTACATTTTAAACGGGGCACCTTTAAGCCACATTGTCTGAAAATGTAACATTAATTCAGCATTGAATTCCATATCATCTAATTGAACTATCGGTTAGCGCTGTTGACAGATTTTTAGTCGACATTTTTGCACAGAGCGGAAATAGCCACTCAGTGTCAGACTGTGCTAAGGTCATCAGCGAGGCTTTTGTGTTTAAGCGTCCAATTACTGAGATTGCAGTATCAAATCGCTAGAACCGAGTTTGACCATTTTGGTTTAATTTTAGTTGAAAGATAAATGTTTTGCCCCATCGCAAGTCGCTGAAATTCACCCTCATTGGAAAGACTAAGAGAGCTGTGACAGTTACAGCCCTGGAGTTAATGTGTACGACATGAAGTGACAAGGAGGTAAATGCAAGTTTAAGGGTTTGAGAAGCATTGACTCTACATCTTTTTCAGTAATTATGGTAGGGGGTCAAATCCACAGTTTCAATTTATAAACTCAGCAACTCCAGTGACAGCACAGTTGCTCAGAGGGTTACTAGAACATGATCAGGAGGAGATTCAAAGACTGAGGCAAGGGCATTTGGCAATGCCCCTCCCCCTCCTCTCGTCCCCACACACACACACACACACACCTCCGCAGCAGAAAGAGCACTGCGCCGGATAAATTTAGCAGCAGATACGTGTCCTCTTCAACAGGAGACCGGGAGCCGTTCAGATCCTCCGCCCTTCCACTCCCATCCTCACCCAGTCTAATCTGCTTGTTATCAGGGAGCATTCTGCAGGCCACTTCACCCTTCCGCCACCGCTTTCCCAATGACCCTTCACCGTCAGCAACAGGCGCATGAAGGAGGACGATATGTAGCGAAGTGCTTGTTTTGAACTTTACACCAGGGCACTTCATACTGTGTGTTCCTCCAAACAACTCTCTTCAGGTCAGGTGGTCAATAAGCGAAAAGGAGGGAGCCCCGATATATTCAGACAGCTTATCTTAAACCTATTTCCTTCCTATCTGACAGCAATCACCGTTTACATGACCCAGCATTACGGAACCTCTGAATTTTAAGGTCTAATACAAATAGAATTCCGAAGAAAATGAATGGAATTGATTAAAATACAGTTATGTAGGGTCTTTTCTCGCAACTTGAGGCCTTCAACTAGTCGATTTTTAACAACTCTGAGATGTTAACAGTTGCAAATTTACAGTAAGAGAAATTGAACTTCAGAAGGTTGTAACTGTAGTACCGTAAATAACTCGTTTAAAAAGCGGGAAAAATTAAAAATCTGTGTGAATTGTCATTTTCCCCGGGAATCTTAGACGACCTGGAAATTCGAAAACCATGTACAGACCAAATTTGAATGTTAAATTATCCCCTTTCTTTTTGTTTTTAAATACTCTACACGATGATCAGAAATTATTCTGGACCTACATCGGAATTAACGGATCATGTAGATCGCATGAAGCGCCCTAAATTGTTGGAGTTGGTTTGTATATTTAACAGTGTAACGTGGGTCTAAATTGCCAGCTTTGATATCATTTACATTGGCCCCTTGTACTCAATTTTATACCCATACCACGCACACCCATACTGCTGGTAAAACCCTGCTCCCTCCTAAGGTAGCAATTTGCTGACGGTCAGGTTTGCTAATGGCCTTGACCCTTGAGTTGGTCACTTCTAAGAAGATTTTTAATCATTTTACTTTTTTTTGGCGAAGTCCCATCATTCAGTTTACATTCCTGAGTCGTCTCATGAAACGTCTGTCTGCTGCACATGTAAGCAGTTTATTTGGATGATGAACGTGCCTGAGCAGGACACGGTCAGCGCTCTCTCGTCCTCCTACTGTACCCACAAGGGGGTTGGAGTCCAGGAGCTGCTAGATTCGGCTCCCGACCAGCCTGTTTTTGTCACTACAGCCCGTACCCTCTAGTTTAAGAAGCGGGGATAAAAACAATCGCTTCAGCAACATTTTGATAGGCAGCAGATGACTGGAAATCCCTCTCGGATACAGTCATGTTGAAATTTAAAATAACGAAAGCATAATGGATCCACACAATTGAAATTGTCTTGCGTTCTCTGAACAGACAGCCCCTCTTTTTTTATGATTTTTTTTCATTTCACCCTGTGGATTTAAGATGCACTCTGTCCTCCCTTATCAAGTCACCCTCACAATCCCTAGCGCAGTTCTGATTTATTGGATTACCTGCACATTTTCTGTTCTTCACCTATTTAATAGTGCACGCCCTCAGTCAATAGTTAAGGAAATCTGTATTCTGCATTAGTGTAGGAAACCCATTGATCATTGATTTGTACGAAAAGGGAGATATTGTGAATATTGTATATTGTAATAGTACATTCGCCAGATTTACTTAATGAGTGATATATTCTGGATCACCTACCATTTAATGCCAGCTGACGAAGTGACGGATTTGATTATTACTAGAGCGGAGTTTTAACAACGAGTAAAGGGTAACCTGATGGCTGTGTTTATTTAGCTGGTAATTCCGAGACAACACGTCTTTAGAATAACCTGCAAAACAAAATCTTCTATGAGTAAAAATGACCCTAAAGCCGTTACAATTATCCTAAAGACATAACTGATTCACAAGTGTCGCCCTCCCTCCCCCGCCAGAGTGGCTGACCGTAAAGCGGCCACCAAGTCACACCATTGTGGTAACATAGAGGGGTGGACAATAACCAAGCGGTGAAGCCCCACATCCTGACGATTGTTCGTTTCAAGGTCGATTTGCCAAGATTAAGTGGAGATTGCTTGTTACAAACTGCGCATGTAAACTACCAGTCCACCGGCCTGTATTCGCAATTTTGCAACCCAAGCGGACCTTTTCACTGCCGTTGTCATATAGGAAATAATCTCGTTAGATCTGATGGTAATTTCGCACAAGGCTGCTTGAGGCCAACAAACAACTCCCCAATCTCCCTGAAACAAAAACACACACACACGAATAATCAGAGTAAATCACGATTAAGGTTAGGCAAGCAATTATGAGATGGAACCAGCGAACAGCAATCGTCCTGTCCCCCGCTCTGACACGGCTTTACTGAATGTTACATTTTGAAGTGGTGTTTAGTAACAGTGAGAGAGCGAATGCATTCTGCCTGAGGATTCCATACAGACTAATGGCATTTAAAAACAACAGCACAGCCACCACAATATGATACAGCGTCAAGATAAATCCGAGGGAACCCTAGGAAACAATTTTAAAAAGATGTTTAAAAGCCAGTAGGACACTCGTAAAGGGGTGAGGGAGTGAATTACAGAGTGCCTACAGAGGAAGGCAACCCGAGCTCCTTCAGACGCACCCGATAAAGTGGGGATAACATTTAGACCATGAATACCATTGCAGGTTTGACCTCATTAACTAATTATTAAGCGTGTATCCAGAATCACACAAAGCACGGTTTGTTACTCTGTAGCGACGATAAAGGAACCGGTAACAGCTCTGAATCTTGCATTTTCAGGGTGCTTCTATAAAAGTCTGATGGAAATCAGTCATATAATTTTCACCGTGAAAAACAAAAAGCGCGACTGGTATTGTTTGATTGAGTCTATCGAAATTAACGAGCCAATTCAAGTTTATCATTTGAATGAAACCTGTTTCCCAAGTACCAATAGCCTTAATATAATCTCCCGGTCGCGTGGGGGTGATTGCAACTTTCAAACGACTTTAAATGTAATACAGGCTGGATAAAAATGTTAGCACATTACCATCCAACTAACAAGACAATTCTGCTCTCCTCGACAATGATGCAAAACAATGGCAGTGGTTTCAAGCATCTGTTTACCTAGGCGTTGATCAGATGCGCTGAGGATTGACAGATCAGCCATAGCTCGCAGTTCTACCTTACTATTATTAAATACAACGTGAACTTTAGCTGCTGACATAGCGCTGAGAGCATTACTGTCCAGCTGGCGCTTGGCACTGCTAAGAGGCGAAATGTGTGTCTTAACTTCCTTAGTTCACGTGGCTCTTTTTAGGTTATTGGTGTCTTCTGTTAAGGGGGTTTGGAACCTGCCTAACAGAACGGGTGCACTGATCAAGTGATGTCCCAATACCTGGACAACGCCACGGCGTCCACAGAGCTCAGGATACAGCCATTAACATGTACATATCTCGGAGGGTCACGGCAACAGCCGATACTGATCTCAGTGCGACTGTTCTCTGAAAGATTTAAGTATTGACATGTCAGTGTGTATTTACAGAATCTCTCGCCTCGCTGCTTTGAATTGCAGAGTCTCGTAACGGGGAGGCCAGCGTCAGTAAAACTGTGGTTTGTGAAATTTGATTCCTTAAGTAGAAGCTTTTCTGTTTCTCCGATATTTCTTCGAGTATAAAAGGAAATGCGACCTGATGTCTCTCTCGTTGTGGGCGACCTCTAACAGAATTCCACCCCCCTCTCCCCAAACCCGCGTTCAAACGTTGCTATAACAGACGCAAGGCACTGATCAAAATCGTGCATTGGCGCCCACCTTTTAAAAACCTCCTGGTTGTTTTTTTTTCTCTCTGTAGTTTGGTCCAGCGAGGTTAAAATGCGGCCAACTCTATCATTATTCATTCTACAGGAATAGAAGTTTTGGAAGATATTGTTTGCGCGTCTCAGGCATCCATATACGAACTGTCAGCCTGTGTATGAACAGGCACAAACACTAGCGGCACTAACCAATAATAGGAGCCCAGGGCATAAAATAGGGATTATAAATTTTATGAAGGTTTCAAACTCTTTCCGAAAGCAGCAGCCATTATGATGATCGTGTTTGCATGGTTGTAATTTATAGTGTAATTACAAATGCTCATTGCTGAAGGAATTTGCCGTATATTGGACAGATGAAATGTTCCATGCTCCGAAGTGATAATT